ACTAATCAATCAGTTCCAAGAAAAAATCCTGCCAGAATTTCATTCTCAGATTGTTGACAAGCAACGCCTAATGGCTTAATTCATGGATGTTGTTGGTAAACATCAACTTGTTAAGGCCGTCTCCTCTCACAGAAATCCTTAAAACTATGTAGAACAAATATTAATGAAATTACAACTTGGTGGGTTATAAAATTCCAGAGTTCCAAATCGGTGCAAAAAAAACGTATGAAAAATCATCAAAATCAATATTATTACTATCGATTTATGTTAATGCTTATTATCATTAATTAGCAAATAACTTTCTGAGTAAATTCGTGCCTTCTATACCGATGCCAAATCAAGTAATAATTAATTTCCTACTGTAACAATGATGCAGAACTTCTTTTGACCTAAGACCTCTACATTTTATGAAAAAAGTTGGTTGACACTTTTTTTTCGATTAAATTAGGTTCAATATGAGCAAATTTGGTCCTATAGTTTATAAAAAAGTGCGCCTTAGCCTTACGCCTACTGTTTCTGGCGTAGTGCTGAGGCGCACTTTTCTATAAACTGCTCTTTTTCCTAGGAATTGCTCTAAATTCCACATTTTCTATGAGATTCTTGGACCTCTACTTTCTTTCTACTTTTTATCATTTTGCTTTCAACCGGAAAAAAAAACCTCGTTACATACCTGTTAGGATATCTCAAAAATATTGCATGGAACGATGCCAAGAGTCCAAGCACTCCATTTATTAACGGAAGGCACAAAAAGTATAATGGTAAGCAGAATAGCAAATGCACGACACCACATGAAAATTCGCACTGAAAATGAAATTAGCACGGAATTGTTTATCGATTCGGGCTACCGCCACTAGTCTTTCTACAGTGGGCATTGTCTCAGCCGAGGAACGAAATTGAACTTGACGCTACTCTGTGGCAGCCATTTTTGTCTTCGCTGCTCTACCACTGATCAATAAAACAAATCAAATCAAAGTATAAAATGAGCTGAATAGCCGAATGGCAGCACATACCAAGGCTATGATGGCAAGCAGTGGATACAGGCTCCACTGCGGACCAGTCTGGCCCATTCGCGACGTGGTTGATGTTCGTTTCCCCGTATTGCTCTGGAATCAGGATAGTTAGCCATAGTAAACACACACATATAGTTACTTGTATGAAAGAATTGGACTAAAGGAATAGATAACATCAGGGAAGGAAGCTGTCTTGTATGTGGAAGGAAGCTGTCTTGTATGTGGAAGGAAGCTGTTTCGTAGGTGGATGTACCTCCAATAAAGCTTGTCAAGATAGGTATGATAGGAATCCCTAGAGAATGCATAAAACCATTTTCAAACTTTCTTAAACTACGATTTGTGGAGATTGAATGAGGCTGAGCATGGCTACAAATCTTTATTCCTTTGGGAAACGTTCCGGTCCACGGGCCCTCCCGACCCACAAGCACAGGTGGCATCTTACGGCTTGTCTCCACTAGAAGAATTCTGGAATATTGGAGTGTGAACCACCGACAGTCACGAGAATTCAGATTTTCAAGGAATCTGTTTCCCTGACCAGCCAAAATGGTTAGAGATAAACGGAACTACATGAGATGCACGGACCACCAAACCGTATTACTCGACGATCTCTCAGGTATCCGCTCCTTGACGAGACTCGGTACTACCCTTTCTACAGCTCTCCATGCCCATATCATCATTTTTTTCGTCGATTCCTCATTTTAAAGGCTGTCCGCTTTCCTTTCTGGAAAGGGTTCTAATTCTAGGTGGCGCGGATGACAGCGAGAAGCACTCCAGGAATGAGAGAGAAGGCGGATATTCTTAGTCTCGCTCTCGAACTTCTCATTCCTAGCTATACAACTGGGCCAATTATCATCCTCACTTTCCTATTCGGATGCAATTAGCTTGAGCATTCAGAGATGTCCGATTGGTTGAGGACGTGATGAGAAAATAGCAATGCCTCCCTGAATAATCGCCATCAGTCGCAAACTGATTTTCAGAGAAAAAGAGAGCGGTCGAAGACAGCCTTCATTGCATTGCCTGTTCGATGTTACCCAATGATATGGGTGGTCTCGTTGCAAACAAGCAGCTAAGCTTCTCCACCATCGGAACGGCTCGTTCAGAGGGTGGGAGACAGTAGTGGGACTCAAAGGGCCAATCCAGCTCCGCATATGGTTGAATCGCACCACATAGCTAAGAACTCCCTCAAGGGTTACTGAACCATCACAGGTACTAGGAGAGCATCACTTCTCGATAGCTACGAATGAGTAGCGAGCAGAAGCCAATGAAAAGATGAAACCGGTGGACATCAGAACGATCTGAGAGTCATAGGATAGGTGAGCCAAGATGGCAGTTGGACCAATCTCGTTAGTGACTGGATCCCTTGGGTCGTTGAACGAACACCAGAAATCAGCCATTAGCCCGATGATCTGACTTCTTCAGGAGCGCTCAGAACGAAAGGAGTTTTGTGCTTCGTCTTTCCAACGGATGGGGTCCATTCGACTTCACTAACTCGCGAAAGAGACAAAAGAGACGCCCACTCGACCATCGATGAATAATAAGACTACAGCTGTTATAGGTGATACCAGACCGACAGGTGGGCTAGAAAGGAGCGAAAAACTGTCGTCAGCATGACTCCGTCCCCCGCAAAAAAACCACAAGAATTAATGAAAAATGCTCAAAGGGGGAAAGAAATGTAGTGACTGCAGCCATGTTGGGCGTGAAACTTTTGTGCAAAGCGACTCTGCAGCATTGTGTGTCCAAGCCGATAATGAGCCGACAGCAGGCTACGAAAGGAAGCCGTTCGACGTCCACGCAACGCAAAAAACGACCTACGACTCTTTGACATTTCCAGATTTTTTTCTGAACCCAGCAAAGCAACTAAACATTGTCGAAAGCAGGAGGATTAATAGAAAAAACCAAGTCGCCAGACATAAAAGGAGCTCCATCACAGTAACATTCCCAGTAATAGGAAATGAATAATGGATGGATTAAAATTGAAAATGGAAAATATACCAAACAAACACGAAAAGTAAAGAAAAACGTAAACAACAAAATAAACTAAATAAACTCGTGTTAGGGTCATATGCTTGTACATTGACTTTCGCGACGAACGCCAAATAAACATGGAAATTTTGGGGAAATAACCTCCAGGATCTTCAGGAAGGGACAGAAGTGTGGTAGGGCAAACGACACCGCTACGGTACTCATGGCCTGGGGAACGAACCACGGATCGACATGACAGGTCCAACGAAGTGCTCACTTTTTCTCCCGACTGCTAAGTGTTAGATTCGTATGGGAGAGTGGAACGAGATTGTGAATGGACCGGGTTTCGCGAGCCACAAGCCATTGTATAAGCCTAGTTCGTATTCTCGATCTATTTAGAAGTCCAGAAAATGATAGAGTGCATGGCGGATTCCCAAGCAACGAACGAGGTGTTAAGGCAGGCAGGCAATAGGTAGAACACAAGAATGATCTGACCAGTCGCTTTGGTCTCAGTCTATGACTTCATGGATTCAGAATAACGGAAAAGTTTGACTGAAATTGATAGATAGAGGAATTCGAGATTTGGACTCAGCTACCGATTTTCAGAACCCATTATACTCAGTTGGAACATAGTTAAGTAATTGAATTCACTCAGAATCCAGTAGAATCGGGCGGCGAAACTCATCAAAAAGTGCACTTCCCATGATGATGCATAAAGCTCGGCCCCGCCGCTGCTTGCAATCAACGATGATTCAGTTGGAATCGACTCAGATTCAGAGCTCTTTCTAGAGGATGCACTGAAATTTACATCCAGATCTGAATTTCTTTTAAGTACTGACTATTCCAAGCCCTCTGCCAAACGTGGACTGTACTATCTAATGAATAGATGCTTTCCTAGAACCCAGCTCAAGTCTTAAGGGTGAATATTTTTGGCTTAATCAATCCCGCCTGGGGATGCGCTCCCGCACTTGACTTCCATTCAGAATCGTAGCGACGTTACGAATGGCTTATACAATGACTTGCGGTGGCCAGCCGATGAACAAGTCAGTGCTTTCCTCCTTGACGAGTCTGGTACCAATTAGCAAACCCCAGAGAGATGGAAGGCATCGTTGGCCTAGACGGATACCGATCCGGGATTCGAACCCGTGACCGTGACCGTGCGTTTGATAGTGCACCACCGTTGCTACAACACCACCCCGAACAACCAAGAACACTAAATATTGCGAGATAATTTTAAAAAAATAAAAGTAGCCAGTTTGATAAACTGACTCATTTCAATTTGTAAAGTAGACCATTGGTTATCGCCGACGATAAAGAACGTTGATGTAGGGCGGGTGAAAAGTCTGCCTTTCAGGTCAGAAGGGCAATTTTCTGAGTTGAACCAACCTGAAAATCAGCGAAGTGCGCCATCGCTAACAGGTTGCTAACGTTCAAGCCGATTGTCGAATGTCTTCACACAGAATGAAGGAGTTGAAAGTGAAGGAGTTGTCGACTGCCTCGCTGATTTCATCATCGCCTTGAACTTTTTTCCTGTCAATCTGAGCCATGTCTGACTGCTTGATCACCCTTATTACGCCTACATCCCGGACATTGACCTTCCGACGGCTGATTCTTCAGAACCCTTCAG